GGCCGGCGGGTGCTGTGGATGTGAGGCAGGCGGGTGCCGGGGCCGTGGCAGGTCCGGGAGGAGGAGGGAACACCTAGGAGGAAGGACACGGGCGGTCACACCCCTGCTTACATAAGCCACAGGCAAGCAGGTCTGGGCAGGGCGGGGGTCACACCCCTGCTTACATAAGCCACAGGCAAGCAGGTCTGGGCAGGGCGGGAGAGGCCTCCGGGCCCAGCGGGCAGCACAAGCCACATTCCTCCCGCTACAGCGACACGTGTGCCGCGGCCCGCCGTGTGTCAGGGCTGCCCACAGCTACACACCGCACACGCACACACTGCACACTGCGTGCGTACACTGTACACCGGGCACACACACACACAGTTACACAATGCTACACAGAACTATATGTCATAGACACACTATACACTCTGCACACACACAGTATAAACAGTGCACACACACACAACTACACACATGCACATACAGTACACCCTACACACTTGGTACACATACACTGCATATTGCACACATACACAAATATACACTGCACACGCACACACTAGGCAAACTGCACCAGCAGACACTGTAGCCAGCTACGCACAGCACATCACGTGTAAAAATACTACACACTTTACGTCCAAACACCATGCACATCACACACTGCAGACACAACACACTACATACCGCTACACACTGTGCACCATGCATGCACATATCATGCACATTGTGCATGCAAACATGTCACACACTGCGTAAAAACACACAATGCATGCCATACACTGCCCACAACTACACAATTCACACACACCAGGCATGTACTTATTGCATTCTACCTAGCACACATGGCTAACAACTATACAACACACGCCTCATCATACACTGCAGGCCACACACACCACACGCACACACATCACACACTGCACACAGACGTCACATACGCACAGTAGCTACCGATTACACACCATACCCCACAAAGACATTGCATGCACTGCACAACACACACTGAACACTGCACATGTCAAACTCTATACCGCACATACACATACATCACACACGGCACACTACACAATTATACATTGTACCCTACACAGATACAACACTGCCCATCACCCACACTGTACCATACACTGCACAACTACACCAGCACAACACACACATACTATAGCCTTAGCCTACACACCGCACACAACACGCACACCAGTTTCACCCTCCACCCCACACAGACACAGCAAAATACACAGCCCACAAGGCACACACACATTATGCAACAATACAAACGTGCATATGCCCCCATCACACACAGCCCAACACACTCACTGTTCAACGCCCCCCCCGCACAATACACACCACCCAGCCTCACACTACACACCACCCAGCAGATACTGCACACCCACTACGCACCATGCAGCCCCCCTCACTGCACACACCACCACACACTACACACAGTGCACACCCACAACTACACACCATGCACATACAGATCACATTACACACTGGACCCACGCTACACACCATGGGGGGACACACACAACACCCCACCTTGCCTGCGCCCCTGCTTGGACCCTGTGGGTGCCTGTCTGTGCGGCACCTATGGGTAGACGGCCTGGGCAGTTGGAGAGCGAGCCGGCTTCCCCCTTGCTTTGCTCCCGCGGTCGGGCATGTTCCCGGAAGGAGGCCAGTGGGGCTGGCGCGGCGAGGTGGGTTGCATAAGGCAGGATGCCCAGTGGGTCATAAGAGCCCTGTTGTGCAATTGACCCAGTCCCGGGGAGGAATTTTTCCAGCCGGGGCGTGTGTGTGTGTGTGGAGCAGCACGCTCGGCCCCTGCGCCCCCACCCCCGTAAGCTGGCCCGGCAGATGTGAGTACCAGGAATATAGGTCAGTAAACATTGAATATTTATCAGCCCCGGCAGTCAAAACAGGCCGGCTGGTCATAAGAGCCCTGTTGTGCAATTGACCCAGTCCCGGGGAGGAATTTTTCCAGCCGGGGCGTGTGTGTGTGTGTGGAGCAGCACGCTCGGCCCCTGCGCCCCCACCCCCGTAAGCTGGCCCGGCAGATGTGAGTACCAGGAATATAGGTCAGTAAACATTGAATATTTATCAGCCCCGGCAGTCAAAACAGGCCGGCTGCCGGCGTATGGCACAACACTGCCGCCTCGGCGCCAGTAACCCACTAGCCTAGAAAGAGGTGCTGCTAGTGGGAATGCCGGGGCAGGACGGGGCGCCGGGGCGGGAAGGAAGGGGGAAGGTTGGAAGCAGCCAAGAGCCCCGGGGGACTTAGATCCACGCTGCCTGGGGAGATTATCTGAGCAGGAGCTGAGATCTGGGTCAGGAGGGGAGAAGAAAGCGGCGGGTGGGGAGGCTGGAAGCTGAGGGTGGCCGATAGAAGAGGGCAGGCGTCCTGAGAGATCTGGGGCATGCCCTGAGGTCACCAAAGGGGTTTAGGCACCGTTGGGACCAATGCAAGATAGGTGTCTCAGGCCTTTTAGACCAGGGCCAGATTTTTAAGAGCTTATGTGAGGTCCAGTTTGCAAAAGCATCTGCCCTTCATGGAGCAGCCGAGCTCCACCATCCAGCCTGCGTCCCTTACATCGCTCTGTGCCTCAGTTTCCCTATCTGTAAACTGGGGGATAATCCTGCTTCCTTTACCTGTTATTTATTAGTTGTATTACGGTAGCAACTAGGGGCCCCAGGAATGGACCAGGCCCCAGTTGCTCCAGATGTGGCACAGTGCCAGAGAGCGCCCCTGCCACGCCGAGTTTACAATCCACACAGACACAGGGTAGGGAAGGAAACTGAGTCACACAGAGAGGCAGGGACACCAGCAGGTCAGTAACAGAGCTGCGGGGAGAAGGACCCCCCCCCAGCCGCTGCCCCGGCTCTCAGATTTCCGCTTTCACTCAGGCTGCGGCCATAATGGGAGTGGCCTGCCCCACATCCTGCCCCCCGGCTCAGCTGCACCCCAGGGCTGTCTGGTCACAGCGTGCACCAGACCCAGGGTGGCTGGGCACACAGCATAGGCCTCCCAGGGGTTACAGGAGCAAACCAGGCCAGTGGTCCCTCTAACCTGGTCTCCTGCCCCAGATCAGACCCTGGGCCCATCTGGCGGGGGCTGGTGTCAGGACTCCTGGGTTCTATGCCCAGCTCTGAGAGTGGGGGCAGGGCTAGTGAGTCAGCACTGACTGTGAGAAAAGATGCCCTGCCCCCCCAGCCCCCACCCTGCTCTCTGCAGTCCAGC